TTCCATCTCTTTCATCTTGTCTCTCTCTCTCTCCCTCCCCGCCTGCGTCACCAGGTGGACCCGACCACAGGCTGCCGGAAATGCAAGTGCTTCAAGTGCCAGCCCTTGCGGAGGTGTTCCCTCAAGTGCCGCTTCGGATACGTCGCGGATGAGAGGGGCTGCAAGAAATGCCAGTGCGGCGACCAGGGAGCCAAGGTTTCCGTCATCACTTCGCTGGACGACAATGAATTCATCGTCGACGAGGGCTACGGTGTGTCTTCTGAAGTCTTCAGCAACGGGACGTACGCTGAAGTGGCTGAAAGTGGCGGCGTCTACGTGACAGCCGGTGAAGAGGAGACGCAGGAACCCGACCCTTCATGTAACACAACACGTGAGTCACCCCTTGCACACGCATTGTGCCGCTTCCCGTTTTCTTTATTGAAAAGTTTGGAGGGGGAACCAGGTTATTTTTTATGAAAGGCAGAGGGCTGGGTTACAAAAAAATGAGGGGAGGGGAGGGTAATGTGAGGGTTGAGATTTTAATATTTTACAGGTGTTTTGGCTTTGCTTATTTTATAGGCGTAGTCTAAAATGACGCTTTTGTTTCATTATGGCACAACGCAGAGACCAAGAAATGCTAAGGCAATAAGGCTTCAAAGAATTAAATTCTCTTAACCAAAATATAGAAAAGCGTATCAACGAAATACAGTAGAAAATTGAGGGCTTATAATGCTAACCACGATTACAAAAGTATTTTCGTTTTTGTTGTTAGTGTTGCTATTGCTGCTATTAATAATATTTTTTTGTTATTATTGTTGTTGTTATCATTATTGTAATCATTATGAATATTATTATTATTTTATTATTATTGTTATTATTATTGTCATTATTATTATGAATATTATTTTTATTATTGTGTATTTATTATTGTTATTATTGTTTTTATTATCGTTATTAATGTTTTTATTATTGTTATTATTGCTTATATTGTTATGATTACTGTTATTATGATTATGATGATGATAGTGATAATGAAGATTATTATCATTATTGTTACTATTATTTTCATTATTGTTGTTATTTATCATGTCATTATTATTCTTATCAGTATTACGATTATCATCGTCATTATTACGACAATCGTAACTTGTTATTACGTTCATCAGTATATTAATCATGTAAATAAAAGTGAGAGAGAAAAAAAGGAGAAAGAATTGCAAATTTTACTTCAAGCGAAACAAATAGCTAATCAAACGCAGTTTTCTCTCAATGAAAATCTCTGAATTGATAATTTCTTATTCTCTGCTTGATTCTTAATAGAGGTGAATTGCCCAGCCAATTACTTCCCCTCAAAAAAATTGGCCTCGATCAAAAACGGTGGAATGAATTTGATTTTTTTAAAGATTTTTTTTTTCGTCTTTTAATAGAAATTCAAGTCCGTTGTATTTGCTGTCTTGTTTAAGCGAAATTCGAAAAGAATTTTCATATTTATGAGTAAAGAAACTCTTATTTGTTACTCCTACTAATAGTTATTACTGCTGTTATTATTATTATTGCTGTCGTTTTTGCTATCAATATTATTGTTTTTATTATTGTTGTTTTTGTTAGTATTTTTACTATTATTATTATTATCATCATTATTGTCATTATTAATGCAATTACCACTATTGCAATTATTATCACTGATTTGATGTTTGTAATTTTTCATTGTTTTACTATAAAAGCCGATCAATGAATAGATTATTACCATCATTAGTAATAATTTATTTACTTGTTACTAAAAGAACCCAGCTTTTAATTTTATAAATAATTATTTTTTATACAACATAATCGTTTAGAAAGCTGCTTTTAAAACCTGCACATATAGTACAAAATGAATTAATTTTGCTCATATTTCGTTACATCTGCTCGCCAAGTTCTGAATAACAACAACTGCATATTTATCAAATTAGTAGAGGAGACTGGTGTGCATAGTTGTGTAGAAAGACTGCTAACAATACGGTGATTTTGGTCTTTTTCGTTTTAATAGTGTGTAGGCGCTAATGTAACCTTTGCTTCAATAATGTTTTAATGTCATGTCGGCCATTATGCAATTTGCGGGATTGAAGGCTGTGCAATTAAGGGAAGGGAACATCTTCACTCAGATCTCATTTGTATTTTTTTGTTTTTGTTCACATTTTATAAGATTTGCCTTACGTTTGTCTTTTGTGTGTATTGTATGATTGATCACGCATTTCTCGTTATTTTTATCATTTCTTCGTTGTATTTATATACTTTTTTTAATGATTTCAAGGAATTAAGTCAGAGCTTGCTCGATGTTTTGGAAAATTAAATCGGAACGTATAAATAGAGAAGGAGAGAAAGAGATCATGCAAGAAAGAAAATAAATGAAAGAAAGAAGGAAAGAAAGAAGAGAAGAAAGAAAGAGAAAGAAAGAGAGAAACATGAAGGAAGAAAAAATAATGAGAGAGAAAAAGAAAGAAAGTATGAAAGAGAAAAACTGATAAAGATGAATCATGAACAACACAGTAAGAGAGAGAGAAACATCAAACAACCGCACCACACTATTCCAGAAGCGACGAGGGTGTGTGAGGTAGTGTGAGTCACCCTAGATTTCATCACCCTTAAGTCCCTGTGGATCATAAGCCATATATATGTGTATTTAAATACTTGTGAATCATACTACTTGGCGCCAGGGAAGAACAAAGGATTTTAAGGGTCAGAGCTCAAGGGATAGAGATAGGATTTTGTGGCTTATGATACATGGCGATCTTGTGTGTGTGTGTGTGTGTGTGTGTGTGTGTGTGTGTGTGTGTGTGTGTGTGTGTGTGTGTGTGTGTGTGTGTGTGTGTGTGTGTGTGTGTGTGTGTGTGTGTGTGTGTGTGTGTGTGCGTGCACTTTTGTGTGTTTACATAAAACTTGCATATTTGCAGTAACGTGAAATAAGAGAAGGACAAGCAAAATGATTCCTTTTCCTCGATCAAAGTTATAGCTTGTTGAGATTAAGTTCATCGCTTTTACGACAGAATAATCCAGTCTTATTTAAGATACTAATTAAAGCGACATTTTCTCCCAAACACTGGTAGTTACTTCAATTTATCTCCTCAGATTGAGAGAGTTAATTACACTTTATTATGCCATTACTCAAGTGGGAGTGAAATCACCAAATGTCTAGAAAAAAGTGTGTTAAATCATTAAAAAGGTGAGAAAACATAGTGAACTTGATGCAATGAGGATATTATTTTTACATGGTCAGTGCATATTATACTTTAATTATTCTTAACTAACGAAACATTATAAGTTAGATCATAGATTACGTGGGAATTACAGTACATTTTTTATTCATCGCATTCATTAATGGGGTTTGTTGTGTTTTTTAATGTAATTTAGGTTGGAGTCTAATTAAAAAGAGTAGTATTAGTAATATTAAAAGCTGCTATTACCAAAATTACTAGTCAGGTTTAAGTTTAAGGCTATGTTACCGGCATGTCGACTTTAAGTTAGTTTTAGTTATTTTCAGTTAATGATCATCCACTGACGGACAGAAGTAACTTAGTGAGACCAAGGTTTACATAATGAATTGCTTTTTGTGTGGTTTGACTGATAGATTAGGTTGACATAGTGACTGTTAAACCATTAGAGCTCAAACAAATCCCCAGACCAAAATAAACTATCTAGACCGAACTAAACGTACGTCAGCTGATCGTACGAAATTCAATGTGAGACCAACGTCAGCTGATGAACCAAAATAAACTTGCCAGGCCATATTGATCCAGCGTAAATAGGACCAAAATAAACCACTAGTTTAACCAGAAACAACCAGACTGAAAGAAACTCCTAGACAGAACCTAGCAACTTCTAAGACCGGAAAAAAGAGTCCCTACCACACCCCACGACTTTCTCTCACACCCACGCCCATCCACGTCCACCCACGCCCACTTTCGACACACCTCTCCCGCACGTATTCTCAGCTATTACCCCACCGCCCATTCGTACGTTGCGACCCCCCCCCACCCCTGCCCACCCGTTTTCCACCCACCCACACTCATCAGTAGATATACATTCGACACAGGTTGAGGATAAATTACACATACAGGTTGAGGATTCAGCTTGAATAAATTGTAAATAAAATAACGAAGGGAAGAGCAAGAAAACACCATGACCGAAAGATGCGATAAAGCGAAAAGGATTTTCGGCATATTTGTGTTTTATTGTTTTTTCTCTTCGTTCTTTTGTTTCCACACCTCTGTTCCAACCCCCCACCACTTTCCACACACCCCATACCCACCCACTAAAAGCATAATCCCTCCCTCCACACCCACCCAAACCCACCCATACTTCCCCACTTCCCACCCACACCCACTCACCTGCCTAACCTAGCCCCAGCCTCGCCCTTCCCACCCGCCCACCAGCAAACACAGCCCCAAACTCGCTCCCACCCGCAGGCGTCGAGGGCTGCATAGACGGGCGCGGGGTGTACGCCGTGGGCACCTGGTGGGAGCGCGGCGCCTGTGTCTCTTGCACCTGCGTTGCCCCGGGATACACGGAGTGCAACGTGACCCAGTGCGCGCCCCCGCCCTGCCCCGCCCACCGACAGAAGCGCCTCAGGAACGAGTGCTGCCCCATCTGCAGTCCAGGTGCTCTCCCGACGGGCTTTGTAGAGGCCTTGTGGTGCATTGGCAGAGGCCTGTGCTCGTATGTTTGTGTAGGCCTTGGAGGGCCTTTGCCGAGGCCTATGTCATGTTTGGGCTTTGGAGGGCAGCTGGCATAGGCCTATACCCACGCCTTTGTATAGGCTTATGTACTGCCTTTGCAAAGACCTTAGCATGGCATTCTGTAGGCCTTTTATGATTACAGGCCTTAGAAGGGCATTTATAGGCCTGTCTAATGTGTTTGTATAGGCCTCGAAGGACATTCTATAGGTCTATATGTCACGCATTGATAGGCTTTTTATAGTCCTTCAATGACACATTATATAGGCCTATAAATTGTGTGTATATAGCATTAAAAGGCATTTTGACAAGACCTTGACGAACACATTATATAAGCCTATATAACACACTTGTACAGAACTTTGCCATTTCTATAGGCTTGTGAAATGCATTTTCATAGGCCTTTCGAGTGCAATTTTATAGGCCTGGAGAGTAATTATTATAGGCCTGTGTTGTGTCTGGCACGTGACTTCCACTCGAAAGTTGTGTTTGTTTGTTTCTTGTTTCTTCTGTCTTCGTTTTTGTCTTGTTGTTTTTTTGTGTTTCTTGGCATGGTCTGATAGCTAGGTTATAAAGGTGTTGTTGATATTACTATTATTGTATCTTTTACTATTATTATTGTTGCTATTATTTTTATTATTATTGTTATTATTACCATTATTATCAATTTTATTGTTATTATTTTTGTTATTATTATTATTATTATTATTATTATTATTATTATTATTATTATTATTATTATTATCGTTATCATGATTATGATCATTATTGTTATTATCATTATTATTTGTATTATTAGTAGTAATAGTAGTAACATTGATATTATCATCATTATCATTATTATTACTACTGTTATTATCATAATTATTAATTAATGTGATTACTCCTTCCTTTATTATCACCATTATCATCAATCATCAGTCATCAACATTAGCATCAATATCATCTTTTGGTCATTAAAGCGATAACTATTATTATCCATTTTTTTTCCCTTATTAGCGTAGGCCTATTGCATGTTATTATCAATACTTTGTAAATGTTCAGCTTCATTCTGTACAAGCACGTCTTGCATGAATTTACAGTTCTGTGCAGTTTGCAAGAATCTCTTTTTTTTCGTTATGTAAATAGTATAAACTTTTAATGAATTACATGTCTTCCTGTTGTAAAAATTATAATAATAGTAATAATGATAAAAAATAATTATAATGATGATGATAATGATAATGATAAAATTGATGATAATGATAATAAAAAAATTGTGTAATATGTTTATATATATCGTTAGATGAAAATAAATTTGATTAGAAATAGATTTAGATTTGATATGAAATTTTTGATAAGAGAAATTTGGTTCATCCTAATAAGAATAAGACAACTTCACAATTTCGTAAAAAACAATACCTCTCGTTTCTTGTCATTTCTCTCCTTCCATTTCCCTTTTCTTCTTCCCTTTATTCTCTTCTTCCTTTCGCTTTCATCTATTTATCCCTCCTTTCTTTCTCCCTTTTCCCCTCTTCTCCCTTTCTCTTTCTTTCATTTGTTTATTCCTCTCCCTCTCTTCTTATTCAAGTTTCGTCCCTCTCCCACCTTTCATTCAGCTTATTTCTCTTCCTTCCTCATTTCTTCTTTCTCTTTCTTCTCTCTCTTCCTTTCTCGTTTTTTTTTCTTCCCCTCCTTTTCTATTTAACCCATTTTCTTTCCTTTTTCGTTTCCCTTTCTCCTTCACTCTCCAGTCTTTCATCTCCCCTTCTCTTAATATCTTTTTCTTTCCTTCTTTTCACCCTTTTCTCCCTCCTTCTTCATCTATCCTCTTATCCCTCCCTTCCACCACTCACCTTTTTCTTTTCTTCCCCCACTCTACTTATTTTTTCCTAGTTCCCTCCTCTCTTTTTCCACCCTTCTAACTCACCTTTTTCTTATTTTTCTCTTTCTGTTTCTTAACCCTCCCTTATCCACTCACAACCCCCCCCCCCTTTAGAATAAGAACATTCCCCATCATCCCCGAAATAAGCATAAAAATAAACAGATAAACGAACCGATATACAAATAAACAAATAATAACAATAAGATCGAGAATAGGAATAAGAATGAACTGACCCTCCCCCCCCCCCCCACAGCGTGCAACCGGGGCCAGGGGCGTGGCCACGAGAGCCGCAGCACCTCCCGCGTGCCTCTGGACCGCATGCCTCCGCCCACCCTCCCGCAGGACAACCAGGACCCCGTGCGCGCCCCCGAGATGCCCGACGAAGACGCTGGGTCCCACAGGAGCGCCTTCGGGAGCGGCAGCACGACCAAGAGCGCGGTGCAAGGTGGGTTGGCTTGGGTTGGCTTGGGTTGCCTTGGGTTTGGGTTGGCTTGGGTTTGGGTTTTAGTGGAGCGTTGGGTTTGTGTTTGGGTTTGGCTTGGGTTGNAAAAAATGTTAAAGACAGGGACAAAACTGATGGAAAAACAGGGTTATGCAATTTTCGGCCCAAAGGGATGTGTGAGATTAAGGGAGTTTCTGAGTGCTATGCTGTTGCAGGATCAGCCGTTTCTCTGTTTTGGGTAAAGTGTGCAGGGAATGTGTGATTTTTCCTATCTCTTTCTCTTCTCTTTCTTCTTTATCTCTATCTGTCTCTTAATCTTATTTTCTTGATTCTCTGTTTATCCTCTCATCTATCTTATTTATTTTATTACTTTTATCTATCCTTTCTCCTATTTCCATCTTTTTTTCCATCCCTCTTATCCTCTGCTCTATCTATATCTTTATCACTGTCTCTATCTTGTCTTATCTCTATCACTTCGTCTCTATTCTCTGTCTCTCTCTATC